AATGGGCCAAACTTGGGATGTTTCCTCAACAGCCAGAGGAGAAGCACAGCTGGCCTAGTTTGTCTAGCATGGGGGTACTCTTCTGTTTACACTAACCATGCTCTTCCCCGCTGCTCTCGTAGGCCTCTAACACCAGTCAGATAGTAACGGGTCGTGTTGTCTTTGCCTTCTAAGTAACCATCCTGGCATTTTGGAGTCTATGGCATATTGCACTTAACTTGCAGTCACTTCTCTGCGCAGTCAGTGAATAACCTGGCAGGCTGAGCTGGTCTGGGTCTGAATGCAGAAGAAAAGTTTCAATTAGGTAACTTGATCTTGTCCATTTTCCGATTCCAAACTGTACAGGGAGATCTAAACTGTCTGATTTTTAGAGACCATAAGGACTCAACTGTGTCTCAAATGACTGGAACAATTGATGTTGGCTCTGTGCTTTATTAATTTTGGGCTCTAAGGTGGTATTGTTAAGGCTAAACTTCACCTTCATGTTTGTATTTCCAAGGGCTGCAGTGTTGAACTGGACTTCAGCAAGATGGGAACAAAATAAGGCCCTGTTAATGCTTGCTTTGTGCTGTGCCCTGTGTGCTGGGGAGCTGTTGCAGTTTGGGAAGTAACTTGCAAGACCCAGTCCTGTAAGCCTGCTTCCCGGGAGCCTGGGCTGGCTCTTGCTGTGGCGCTCCACTTAGTAAAGCTATTGCCAAGTTACAGTGTAGATGGTGAACTGCCCAGCTCTGTGTCAAGCCTCTTGGCCTGGGCATCTTGAGCAGTTTAAATTGTGCTTTCCATTCCCGTCTAGGTAGCTCGTTAGATATCCGCTCAAACCAGGTCTCACCTGGTGGTTCAGTGCTGCGGTAGGGCTTGACTTCTTCCCCTGAAACTGCGCGTCTTGGGACCCTTGGGCTCTCTTCCAGCACCGAGGGTTTAGGAGCTGCCTGGGGTGCTCCTCCCAGACCAGAACTCAGTTTCTCTTCCTCTTTTCTGCTGTGCGTTTGGAAACGGCTGTGCAGACTCAAGCCTGGCTCTGTGAGCGCTTAATGTCCGGGGTGGTGCCCCCTCCCTTCCGCCTGGCCCCTGTTTTCAGCCCTGAGTGACTGGTGCTCTTTGTGCTTGCGTTGAGGCTTTGTCATGGATTGTAGGTGCTGCGGGCTTTTAGGCTTCATTTTGGATTTGAAAAGGTAAACCTAAGGGTGCCCAGAAGAGCTGCCCATCATTGAGGGGCTCGAGCTCCAGGAGCAAAGCCTTGCTACTGGGAGTCCTGCTTAACCAAACCCCAGGGAGGGAAGGCGCCTGCTGGGCAAAGGGCCCTGTAGACAAAGCCCCTATGCCGCCCAGGAGCAGCCCAGCACTGTGCAGGGCTGGGGGCTCCTCTGCGGGTGAGGAGTGTGGCTTCTTCCTTGGCCAGGTCTCTCCTCCAGCAGTCTCCTCCTACCTACCAGTGCAGCTTGTACATCAGGTGCTCGGGCTCAGTCCCTCGTTCTTTAGAAATGCGTAGGCAGCCTCCAGGGGACTTGCCCTTGCTAACTTTAAGTATTGAAACAACCCCATTCCCTACAACCTCAGAGAAGGGCTGGAGCCCTGTCACAGATCCATGTCAGTCCATGTGTCACACTTGATATGTGACCTTCATAAACATGGTCTGATGAAACTCACAAGCACAACTTTCAACCTTTCTGAATCCAAAATCTTGCTGCTTCTCCTTTCAGCCTGCCCTGTCATGCTAATTTAGGTTAAATCCAACAGTGTCTAATGCTGCTTTACCAGGTCTGACAACAGAAGGACTGTCTAAATTGCTGAAATGGGAAGTCTGGACCTGTTCCTCTGAGAAACTGGACTTCACCTTGATGAAGGAGCAGCGTGCTCAGACAGCACACAACCCTGCATATCTTCAGGTTCTGCACACTTGTAAAGGGGAAAACTATAAAATGGTGTTTCACAGTAACGTCCTCTCCTTGTATTACTCTCGGCTAAGCGCGTGCTCAGTGCCTTACTTGGATGGCCTCTGATCAGGCAGCGTGGCGAGGCTCTCGCAGTCTGTCCCTCCCGGTGCAGTGTGAAGGAGGAAAGCGGGAGTCTTGCAGCTCCTGTAGGACACTCTGACATGCTGCCTCGTGGTTCACCACAGAAAACAGTATCTCAGTGCCTTCTTCTACATGCCTGTAAGGACTAGGAAGTCACTGGAGCCTTTTCCATTCTGGCCTTTCAATGTATTGCCAAAAACCTGTTACAACTCTTGCTAGCTCTGTTTTGTGAACACCGGTGACGTAGTCTGACTTCCTGTGAATAAGACTCTCCCTTTCCATGTATTCCAGCCTTTCCAGGGCTGTCCTGGTGGTTCTGTGCTCCCCAGAAGAGCTGCGGTAGAGCCCTTGTCTCCCCTGGAGCAGCTGTTTGGCTCCAGCCTGTCCTCGAGTGAGGCTTTATCTGCTGCCTCAGCCTTGGCTGTCTGGAACAATCCCTGCTCTGTGGGTAGCTGCTCTACCTACAACTTCCCAAGGCCCTTATCAGGCTGGGAGCGCCAAGCAGTTGCTCTCCGTTAAGAGTTTAGCACTGTTTCATGTCCCTTGGTAGCAACATGTTTTCTACAGAAAGACCAAGATTAAATGTAACCTTGCTCCCCCCTGCCTGACTGATCAGTGCTCTGCTCTGCATGGTTGTGGCTGGTTGTTTTTTTGGTTTTGTTTTGTTTTTTACGGACAAACATTTTATGGGCCAATAAGTATAGAACCTATGTAAAACAACTACAAGTGTCTTAACTCAATAAAGTTAACCAGCAGGTTTGTATACTAAGGACCAAAGCAAAAAAAACCCAAACAAAAACCCTGGGACAAAAATCATTCCACTCAATGTTGCTTAACTGTTTAGGGCAAAGTTGTGCTATTGAGGAAATGGGAGATTCCTGTGCTTAATTTGCGTGTGCTGTTCTAGCTAGTGGAAGTGCAATTTGGTCTTTATTTTACTGATTGTCTGACCCAAAGCTTGTGCTGTGAAGAGTCCAAGGGGAAAGCGTGAGTAAGGAGCTCATGAGAGAGCTGAGGCGTCCCTGGCCTTGCCTGCTGCCAGGGAGCTGCTCAGCACAGGGTGCCTGTGCGAGTGGCACTCCTGTGCCATGGCTGCGGTCGCCTTCCCAGACTGGTACTGCTGGTCTTGGACCAAAATGCAACTCCTTTGCTATCACCAGGCAGCTTTTGACACTTATTTCTGATTCTTGGGTTTCTCTCAAGCTACTTGTGCTGCACGCTAACTGCGGAAGGGGAAGGGAGTGGAAGCAGCCTCTGCTTGCGCAGAGGGCTGACCCCTGCCGAGTGCTTTGAGACAGGGGGAGGAGTTTAGCTGTACATTTCATTTCAGACATCTGTATTAAACTAGAATGGATTGACCAGGGAGAAGTAAGAAGCGTTGTGGGACTCAGGCTCTAATGGCTGTAGGATCCTGGCCCGCTTACAGCTGCTGCCATAGGTGCAAAACCACTCTTGTTGCCTGATGAAGTCTCTAGTGTGCTAAGCCCTGGTGATGGCAAAGTGTGACTGGCATGGTGTGAAATGTGTTAGACCCTGAGCCTCTTACAACACGTGGTCTCATCTGTACTGTCTTGAGTTGTGTTGATTTGCAGATATGTGATATGAGTGATATCCTACAGACACATGGGAAATCTTTGTTTAAAAACTGTATTCTGCTTTGTGCGTGTAACCACGTTGGACAGAAAGCAACTGTGTGCCAATGCTGTTTACATGACTATAATGTGTAATGCTCCTCTGTCTAATGTTACCATATGCCTTATGTGTTCAAATGTTAATTAAAAGTGTAACCAAACCCTCAGTGGTATGCTGTTCAAGCTCCTGTTGGCGTGAACCTTCTGCCACCAGCTCTGCCCCTGGGGCACTTTTATTGCTTCTTCAGGTAGTGGTGGGTAGACACACTGTTTGTAAATTCTAACTCTCCCAGGGTGAGAAGATGTCTCTGTTCTCAAGGACAACTATTAATTGTTGCCTTGAGTGTTGTATTGATCTTCTAAGGCCCTGGGCTGGAGGGCAGCTATGGTGACTGTGTTTGCAAGGCCCTTAGCTTCACTCTGCAGCCGGGTGTCTCTGCAGCCAGTTGAGACTGAAATGGGTGCCTGAGGTGAGGGTAAGACAAGGCGTGAACAACCACTATTAAAAATGGGGGAATGAATCTTGTTTATTTGTGTTTCTCCACTTAGAGGCTGTCCATGTCTGTATATTCTCAAGGGAGGCAGCTGTGCTGGGCGCTGAAAGCTGTTAATGCTCTTCCCAGGAGAGCACCAGGCTGCCAGCTGGTCCCAGTGCAGGTGCTGGGGAGGGGCTGTACCTCAGGGCTGTCTGCTGGAGGACTGAAATGTCTGTCTGAAGAGCTGGCATTAATGATGGCTCAGCTCTGACACAGGCTCTGGGGGTGGCTGATGGAACCTGCCTGTAGTGGCCAGAGGTAGAAGAGACTTCTGGAAGATGGGACTGGACTGCACGCGGGCTCCTGCCCAGGGTTGGGTTATGCTGCTGAAAGCCACGCCGGGGCTCAGCCTGGAGCTGGTGTTGAAATAAGCTGCGTAACTGGCTGGTGAGGACACGTATCCAGAAGGAGATGGAGTTTCAGGGAAGCTCTGATCCATGCTGAGGCTTGCCCAGGACGGGGGTGGAGATGCTGCTGTTACTAACGTGCAGAGTTGTGGCTGCCTCTGGGGACACAGGAGCTCCTTGGACAAACACCTGCTTCTTCCTGCGCTGT